GTCTCTAAATAAAACAGGGTAGAGATGTGGTTCAGTGGTTGAGTGCCCCAGAGTTCAATCTCCAGTACCAAAAACAAAACAAAACAAAACAAAAAAACTGGTACTCAATGGATAAGTACCCCTGGGTTACAAAAACAAACTTCCAGTGGACCAGGCATGTTGTCACACACTTGTAATCCTAGCTATTCAGGAGGCTGAGCCAAGAGGATCACAAGTTCGAGATCTGCCTAGATAATTCAGCCAAACCCTATCTCAAAAGAAAAAAATACTTTTTCAAATAAAAAATAATGGAAAAGAAAAGACCTCTGAGAGGTTGATACATGGTTAATCTCACTTTCACATCACACATATTTGGTAAATCTACATATGTTAATTTAGACTTGGTTTGACCACAACTGAAAACAAACTAAACATAATTAAAATGGTATAAATGCCTAATCAAGCCTCAAATGGTTTCTAGGGAAAGCAACTTTTAATTCTTTTAAGTTTTAATTTCTCACTTAAACCTTACCTTAATCCCGTTTCCGAGGTAATATTGCTGTGGTAAGCATAGATTTTTTCTTCTTCAAGTACATCAGGCTGTGGTTTGGCTCTATTAAATTTTCTAATTTTCACTAAAAGAATAAAGTCATTATTATTCAAAAGTTCCTATTTTCATTTATTCAAATTACATGAATTGGCTGTTGTTCAGCTGGTTTATTCATTAATGTTCTCAAACATTTCAAATTCTACCAATCTGATACTAAGCACTGGAGAGAGAAGATTATTACTGGCACTGATAATAACAACAGACGTTTACTGTGTACTCAATGCATGAGATACAGTTTAAGGATTGAATCCAGGGGCATTTTACCACTGAGCTATATCCCCAGTCCTTTTATTTTTTGAGACAGGGTCTCACTAAATTGCTAAAACTGGCCTCAAATTCCTAACTATCTTGTCTCAGCCTCCCCAGTCAATGGGATCACAGGTGTGTACATCCTCCTCCCTCAGCTCAATAAAGGGGCAATAGCAACTTCCTATACAAACAGGGCCTAGCCAGACCCATCCAGTGCACACCTGCCCAAGGTCACTTGCTTTAGAAGCCTCCAGCCATGCAAACCTACACCATAGGCTTCATTTCCCWTTAGCTCAATGCCATCAAGTTAGCTGCACCTCAAAGTCATTGTCAATTCCTCGTCTGAGACAASGCTAAGGACGCGGGTCCCCTTTTCTTCCTAGTGTAACTACATTGATTAAAGTTTATTTCATGCTTTTCACCATTTCCTTTTCTCTCTGGTTTTCTGGGCGAGTGGAGGGACCCAATTTGCTGGATCCCCAGAGTCAGGTCTCTGGCCTTGGACCCTGCAGCAACTCACTCACATTTACAAACTAATCACTCTTGGTATTATAAACCTCCTCCTGTTGGCCTCAAGGACACACACACAAAATCAGTAAAATGAAACTTAAGGCCCAGGTGACTGCTTGACAACCAGAGAAATGATTTCTTTCAAGTGGATACATTCATAGTAACAAAACCACTATTAGCTCAATGCCACCAAGGTAGCTGCTATTATGGACAGACTGCACAGCCTTAAGCAGAACTGAAATCTAGATTTCTCCAGCCCTGAATTTGTTGTTAAAGTGTCCTTGTAGCCCAGTGCAATGGCACATGCTTGTTATCCTAAACCCAGTGATTTGGAAGATTGAGGCAGGGGGTGGTTGCAATTTAGAGGCCAGACTGGGCAATTTAGCAAGACCCTTTCTCAAACAAAAAAGGCTGGGAATGTAGCTCAGTGAGAATGTGCTACTGGATTCAATCCCTAGTACTGCTAAATAAATGAAAAAATAAAATAAAAAATAGTATATAAAAACATTTTAACATATCTAAAGTTTATTCAATTTTACCTCTGAGGGTTTTCAGAGAGCGAAAGACATTTTTAAACTCAGAAAATGGGTTCCTAAATGGCTTACCCCAAAACAAGTTAGAGGTAAATGCAATTTGCATCTATAATTAGCTCATATATTTAATTATCTTGTATTACTTTTATTTTATGTTTGGATACCAGGGACTGAACCCAGCACTTAACCACTGAGCCACATTCCTAGCCCTTTAATCCCTTCTCCCTCCCTMATCTCAGGGGAAAACAGGATTCTTTTCTTCCTCATTCTAGGCAGAGTTATCTGTCCTTGAGCACACACCCATTACAGGAATTAAGTAATTCAGACTTTGGGAATGGCACCAGAGAAATGATTTCTTTCAAATAGTAACAATAGTAACAAAACCACCATTAGCTCAATGCCACCAAGTGGCACTGAAATGACTATCTTTCAAACAGACATGTGAATTACAAACTCAGAGAACATGTGATATGTAGCCTTTGACTGTCTCTTGCTCCTGCTGATGGGTAAAACCAGGCTCTGGAACAGGAGTCCCCTGTGTTTCTACTTTGCTAGCAAAGCAAGAAAACTTCTTTTTCCTTTTTCTCAAAACTGTGTCCTTGTTATTGGATTGGCATGGGGACAAGGACCGGGCTTTCAGTTAACACTGCCTCAGCCTCCGAGTAGCGACATTATAGGCACACACCATCACACCAGACGGTTGCTTTTATTTTTAAATATCAGAGTTATACTTTGGTTGACTTTAATAGAAGCAAAAAGTTTATCAGGCTTTTTTCTGTTTTCAAATGAAAAGGCTTCACTTTAGTTGACAAAAACTTATTGAAGACACAAACTTGGAAAAGTGCCTCACTGGGGGCTGCAGGTGTACCTTTTCCCTATTGGTTTGAGAGAGGAGCCTGGATGTGACCAGCAGTGGAAGATACAGATGCAAAAAGGTTCTCAGATACACAGGGAAACTTCCTTGTCACTAAAACAATGGTCTATGCGTCAAACTAGGAGGAAAAAACAGTTAAGTAAAGGTCTTACAAAATGGAAAAATGGCAATTCTCACCTGCATAAATGAGCAGACAGGTCACGGAGCAGAGCAGTTCCAGGGCCAGGACGGCCAGAATGAGGTCAAGGTACAACCTGCTGGGCTCAGGAAAAGAATGCTGCATGCACAGTATGAGGAGGAGCATCGTGTTTCCTGGGAAGGAGAAACACACGAAGCATGAACTGAGAAAGTGTAGTGGGCCTTCATCCTTGGCACAGAGCTCTGAAAACCCTTGTAGTTTCCTGAGTGACAAGAGAACACCTTTTGTTAGAATTGGTTTTTGTACAGTTCCTAAAAAGCCTTGTAATGTCTTCATGTAACTGTGGTCCACTTTATGCTTTGAATTTAGCCCTCGCTGCTCTGCCACAGCAACTTATTTTTAAAAATGGACATGTTTCTTTCTCTTCCTCTCTCCCTGTTCCTCCTTAATCTCAGGGGTGACAGGATTACCTCCCCCCTCCCTCCATTCTAGGCAGAGGTATCTGTCCTTGAGTGCACACCCACCACAGGAATGAAGTAATCCAGACTTTGGTGATGATACCAGAAGATCTCAGAAATGACTATCTCCCAAATGGACAAGTGAATTACAACTCCAACCGAGTACACATGGAATGTAGCCTTTGAGTCACCTCTGTAAAAGCCCYCTTCACCCCCACCCCCGTTCCTGCTGATGGGCAGATCACAGCTTTTGGGACAGCACCCTATGTTTTATGTTTTTCCTTTGCTAGCAAAACAATAAACCTTTTTCCCAAAACCGTGCCCTTGTTATTGGATTGGTATTGAGGACAAGGACTGAGCTTTTAACAATAAATACTTCCTGCTTCGCAACTTATTTTTTAAATTATTCTAATTTGTTACATGACAGCAGAATACAAATCAATTCATATGACACAAACAGCACAATTTTTCATGTCTCTCGT